CATTTCACTTTTCATATGATTTCATAATCATATGCCACTTAGCTTATAACACTTCTCTTGTGTTCATATGACATGTACATTGTCATCTCTTATTCTCATATGATTCTCATACCTCAAGTATATCACATTCATATTACAGATTCATATAAGCTCACTGTTTTTTTATCACTTATCTTCTTATTATATTATTCACATCATATACCTTATTGTCACATAATCTCATATCACATAACATGTATTATTCAAGTATATTAGCATGTCACATGGCTATGTCTTCTCATGTATTCACTTTCATCATATTCTTCTATGATTACCTATTTTATCTCATAACCATATGTTCACATAAGCCACATAACATATACAAAAACATATCCACTCATATAATCAAACATACATATATTTCATGTCATTCACCTACTTATAATCAAGACTTCATGCACTTTAACTATCGGAAATAGACTTATCACAAGTCCAATTCCATATCATTTTATAAAATAAGATGCACTCACCTTGGCCTCACTAAGTTCCAATTCACTTTTATGATTTCCTTTCTTTCGATCGAATCTTAATTTGATGATCGTTCTGGAACTTGTTCGAGTTCGGAATCTACATAATCATACATTGATACATATTAGTATCCAATTGATATATTATAATCTATCATTTCTTAGACCAAAAGAAATGTCTATTTCAATTTCCTCTTGAAGTGCATCGATGCATTCTTTAACATGTGCATCGATGCACTACCCATGCATCGATACACCAATTACCTTCGATGTTGTTATTTTAAGGGGATGCATCGATGCACCAATTGCAATCGATGTTCATTTATTTGAGAGTGCATCGATGCACATTGAATTTGCATCGATGCACACAACCCAGAAATTCCATTTGAGCCCAAAATTCTTACTTTGACCTCAAATTCTACTTATTAACCCCTCCTTATGCCTTAAAACTCATCTATACATATGTAAACCTTCTTATAACACTATAACACTTAACTATCCCTCATAATTCACCACAATTCTTGAATCAAAGAATTTCATTAAATTTTCCATGTGTTCTTAATTCAATTCTATCACCTCTAACTTCTTAATTAACCCTTTGGCAAGTCAAATTTAACTTCATATTCTGTTAACTCCTTTTATTTCAATAATTCACTTAAACACTCCTTTTTCTAAATCTCTTATAACTTGTTCATTTTGAAGTTTTAGGTCACCATAACTCTTCCCTTACTCTTTGTTATCACTCGAGAATCAAAAGAAACCATAAGATTGAAGAAACAAGCAAATTAAATCCAACTCACCTTATACATGAAGACACAGGAAGAGGAAGAAGAAGAAACTGAATCCATCTCTCCATAATTTTCTTTCCCATTTACATGTGGTTATCTCTTTTATAAAGAGATAATAAAAATATTTCTTTGCAAAGACCAATTTACCCTTACTTTCTTACATATTTACCAAATAGTCTTCAAAATATTCCTAATTAAGTCTCTGAACTTTCAGATCTTTCAAAATTAGACTTCAAATTTTCAAAACTTCTATTTTAGTTACTTACTCTAGTTTTGGGATGTTACATAGAGTATAGCAAGATTTGAGGTACGATTGTTCCTCTTCACAACTCAAACTTTAAAATAAGATCTAAAATCTCATTAATGGGTGTTTTGGAGAGGTTAAGGTTTTGCTAGGTTTATGCTTTATGAGAGGTTTTGAAGGAATTTAATTTTAGATTTGTCTTTCATCTTTCCATTACTCTTTTATTTTCTTGATGTATTTTATAATGATTATTAAATAGTGAAATGAGATGCCTTTGACGTATTAAGAGGCAAGGAGCAATAAGCAAACTTAAGGAGGGTGAATAAGTAATATTTTAAGCATTTTTATACAAGATAATACACTTTCTTTACTAGTTAGAGGTATGTGAATCATAAAGAATGACCCTTGTAGGTTAAATATCAATACTAATGCATGTCATATTAAATTTTGTGAATCAATATTCTTGAGATGAGATTGGCGTTAAGAATGCTTGGTAATGATGTTAAATGATGTGAGGACGACGATAGTGGCTTTAGGTACAGTCTTAAGGATAGAATGAGATGGCTAGAATTAGATTTATGAGTACCTTTTTAGCTTAAAATTATATTTCTTACATTTTGATATCGATATTATTCTTACATTATTGATACCTCTTAAAATATGCAGAAATCTGGGTAATAGCATAGTGTAGTATTGAAATTGTTCTTCACGGTATCAGTACTATTTATGTGGTATCGATACCGAAGGTTTGATATCGATACCATTGAAAATATTTAAACATCGAGGCAGATTTTGATATCGATGCCACGAGTTAGTATCGATACTACAAGATGATGGTATCGATACTAGTGAAGTAACATAGTGCTACTAATAGCAAATATAGAAAAATCAAGCAATTTTTTTGTATTGACACCACCCTATGGAATCGATGCCTAATGAGTAAATATCAATACCCGTCAAGAGTATCAGTATTAATTACAAGAATAGGCTTACTGAGAGGGGAATTGAGGTTCAATCAGATAATATATACTTGTGTTATATAATAATGTGATTTGAATTAAGTATGTAAATATACCTACTATTATATGGGAGTAGGAACGAAGAATGATTTTTGACAAATGACTAACTCGAGTCAAAGACAAGTATGACATCCTCTTTGGAACTTTTGTTTTTCACCTCTATTTATTTTTTACCATAGTAGTTGATGTGTCTATTTTTACCATAGTAGTTGATGTGTCTAGCATTAATAAACTCATGTAAGTTTCTTTCAATTGAAGCAAACTTTTAAAGAATATATGTGTAAATATACTCTCAAATAGTAACATTGACATAATCATTATTATGTTATCCCATGTAGGATGTTACCATAAGGTGCAGCTTAAAAAAATTGTCAAATTTGTTTAAAGAGATGAAGGAGAAAAAGAACAACATTAATGATGTTATCCGAGAGATTGAATTTGACCCTTTATTAGAAACTAAGTCTCGACCAATTCGTTGGGACCTGTGTCGTGATTTAGTGGAGACCTTTGATGTCGAAAGGTCTGTTATGAAATTTAACGGACATATCATTCCTTTGAAGGAAGATGTGGAAGTTGTGTTAGGTATAGAAAATCATAGTGTTAATGTTTTAGAAGTGATGGAGAGGGAGAAGGAGAAAGACCTATGTTTAAAGAATAACATCAACAAAGAAGTTTTCTTTGTTGAGCTTGAGCAATAAATATTAAGTGGTGATTTTGATTGCGATGCATTATAAGCTATGTTTTGTTGGTGTGTTTCTATATCCCACGGTTGAGACATGCCCATTCAGTGATTATTTTAAATTATTGTGCTCAGATGACCTAAATAGAAAACTTAATTGTATGAACTTTGTCATATTTGAACAAACACTATATTCGTTTATAATATTTTGAATGAAAAGTTGTTGATGATGAATTTGATCTTCGATGTAAATAAATTGTTGCTTCTGAGCAAGTCATGTCGATAGTGTATTATGAAATAAAAAGAATGAAGCAATAAGAAAACCAAGACAAAAAGATATAAAGATAAAGAGAGAGATCTTGTACTATTATCTCAATATGATTATGTACAATGTTTTCTCTAATCTCTATATTTATAGGTATAAAGAGTAGATGTCATATACAACTCTAATCTTAATGGATATTAAAGTTATAATAATAAAATACATCAAAGTCGTATTTAATACATAATGTTCTAATCTTAATAGATATTCACATAAATAAATATTCATAACAAAATGTGATTTATATATTAGATGAGCATAGTTTGACGACGTTGATATTCTGACATGTTCTATCAATAGAATCTCGCATTTAAGTATAGTTCTAACAATTTCTTTTTGGATATTTAATTTAATTAAAAATATTATTTCATTAAATATTTGTTTGGAAAATATTTTAAAATATCAATGACATGTTCAGAGAGAATTAAATTTATTTCATTATAAAATAAATCTCTTTTTACAAATTAAAATATAAATAAAAGAGAATTAAATTTAAATATCAAAAATTAAATTTATTAAATCAAATTAAAGATAATACGTGATTAAATGATATTGTTTTTATTAACTGTGTGGTGGAAGTGACAATCATTCTTCATACATAATCGTACTTCTAAACCTAATTTTTAATTTTACAGATTAAATTTATCATTTTATTGATACAATATATTTTTATGTAATTTAATCCCACCTAAAAAACGATTGATGACACTCTAAATTTTTTTCAAGTTATATTTTATTTTATTAATAAATTTGATCTCAAAATTGTTATGACATAAACAAAGATCGAAAAAACAGTTGAATGATAAGGGAGAGATTAAAATTTTAAAGGATGGTCTAATTTTTCTTAAATGCTTATTATTTTACTCTTTTATAATTTAATCCTTTCTCCAATTTTAATCATTTTCTTATATACTTATAAATCAAACTCCATTTTGGAACTCGATTTAAGGATAAAATTTTTCCAAACACTTAATAAAATTTTCGAACCAACAATTTAAATTAAGTTATTTTTAATAAAATAAAAAAAATTCTCTTTTTATAATTTTTTTAAAAAATCATCCAAAATTTAAATCGATTATTTGATTCACTAATCCAAACCTATTAACCTGGATTTTAAAACGTAATAGTTGAGGTATTTTGATATTATCTGACATTATATTATTACTTTATCATATTTAAATATTAGATTTTAATAAAAAGTTCAGATGTTGATAAATTATCCAGTTCTCATACAATTACAAATTCATAAAGTTATCAATTCATGATCATATTGGAAACATGTACCATGCGATTCATGATCAGCCAATATAAGTCACAAATTTAATTCAAATGAATAAATCGGATCATCTGACAAACATATTTAGAACCCGTCAAATGATCTCAAATTTAGTTCAAATGATTAAATCAGATTATCTGACAAACATATTTAAAACCAATCAAGTGATTTCAGTGATCAAAGTGAGTGTTCTTTTCCATTGAGGTACTGGATTCGAACAACTGCGTCTAAATGTAAGAACGATTATGAACAAATACTATCTTGTAATCGCCTGGAATATTAAAAAAAAAGATTTAAGCAAGGTTGTCACCATTTTGATGTCAAAAAATGGACAAAATGTCTGAAGTGATTCCATGAAGCTCTTCATGTCCTGATCTTCATCTTGAGTAAAAGACGACTGAACTCCAACCAATGCTCCAGTGCTATATGCGATGCAAACAATCCCTTCCGATGTCGGAAAACATATTCCAAGATGCAGCACTGTTTATCCAGGAAGCACATCCAGAATCACGCGTAAATGCGACGTCAAGGCAAGTATCGGTTTTTTCCAACTAGGATGCTATCGAACTCCAGCCAATTCCATATCCTTAATCACCCAATGTAATCGCTGAGAAAGCCCGGCTCTTCGATACCCCGCAACCAACAAATCATAGGTTGATTTCGTGAGCTTATGTGAACCCTTAATACGCTCCAAAAATAGATCTAGTCTTTCATAAGCTTCTTCCCTGAAGTAACAGCAGATAACCTTCTCAACATCATCTGCGCATCTAAACAATAACCCTTGTTTCAGCAGCCTGCCCACGGAGTATTCGACATCATCCAATCGATTCAATGCTGCATACATAGTTATGATCCCGGAGTTCACGTGTGATAAAACAGCAACATCCTGTCCCGACTCCACTACAGTTAAAAGTAGGTCTTCCATTTCTTCTACCTTTCCATGTCTCAAATATAAACCGACGACCTTCTCAGCCATCTTTGGACTAATTTCCTGCCCAGCTTCAAGGCAAGATTTCAAGAACTCTTTAACGTGATTGAATCTCCGGCGTCTGCAAAATCCCTCCAGCAAGTTCTCCAATATGGTCTCACTAGGCATCATTCCTTTCAATGTCATTTCTTCGTAGAATCTATCAACACCGTCAAAGTCTCGAGATCGACTACAACCAGAAATGAGTGAATCATATGTTTGAAGAGTAGCACAATAACCAGAAGCCTTCTTAGCTGAATACCAGCTTTTCATGGCGTCGACATATCCCAAACTCGAAAACCCTGTTATGAAGGTCTCATAAGTCTCCTCATTTGGTTTGTAGCTCTCTGAACTTGCCATTATCTCGAACAAGCTCAATGCTGTTAACAAATCATTCGAGGACAAGCAAGCATGTATGAAGGAATTGAAAATAGAAGTTGTTGGTTTAATCCCATGAACCTCCATTGAAGTAAAGACATGCATTGCAAGTGAAACATTTCGAATCTTTGCACAAAGAGACATTATATAGAAATATTGATCATAGTCTCCCTCATTTTCCTTCAACATTTTCTCTAATTTCCATTCCAAAACCTGACCAATAAAATAATAACCTAAGTTGAACAATGGGGAAATAGAACATTAATTCAATAAATTAAGCTGGTTATGTATTCATTGCCTATAATTAAGTTCCTGTGTTACTCTAAAATTCGAGTTTTATTTGCATACGCATGTTCAAATATGGATGAATCTAAAATATAACCGATTAATATAAAACTAAAAAAAAAAGACAGAAATCACTTGTAATCCAAAGACTTACCGAGAGCGTAACCCTTTAGAATAAACTAAATAACATTTTAGGTTGAAATCGAAAATATTACATTCTCCGAGAAATCACATAAATTGTATAACCATTTTAGTTGCAACCTAAAAATTTACTGTCAATACATTATCGGTTTTAGACGAAATTATTACAAATTATGTAATTTTTAGAGTAGACATATAACATTTTAGGTTAAACACATCATAATGTAACGTTCTTGGTTGTAGTCGAAATAATTACCAATTGTATAACTGTTTTTTTTGTTGAACATGGTAACATTTTAGTTAAATCCGAATATCCAAAACAACATGATTGCAAGGAAATAAAATTATTTATAAGAAAAACGTATGATTGGAAAATGGAAAAGAACCCTATGTATAAGAGAAGACATGATTACAAGAAAATAAAATGATTAAATTTGAAAAGAGGGTACATAGGAGTTCTTCCATTCACTAATGTTCAAAAATCTTAGCAGCCAAATAATCTCACCTTTCAATATTTATTTTTAAAATATATATATATATATAACGGAAAGAAATGGGTTTTAGAATCTTACCAGCCGAGCCTTCTCCGGTGGCAAAGATGGGAGAACGGCGGCGAGAGACTCCCAGGAAAACTGGGGATTATTGTGGGCAAAACGATACTCAGAATCAATCGTAGACTTGATTAATGAGGTGGGTAATTGAAGTAGTTTCTTCAGAAGAGGATTGAAAGAGGATGGGTCGTTACATAACCAGCGTTGAGATTTACAAGGGATTTGAACAAATTGAGAGCCTGAACCTATTTTAGCTGCTCTTAATAAAACCTTGCAAACTAACGCCATTGTTTTTTTTAATTCCTTCTCTCTTTTTCGGATGGAAATGGATGCTTGGCTGTAGGAATAGTAGCAGACTTTGGTGGTATTTGTTTTGTTTCAGAGTTTTTTTTAGAGTAAACTATGTAAATAGTCCCTTATATTTTCTGTCTGACTGACTTTGGTCATTAGTTTAAAATTGAAGGGGAAATGGTCTCTATTATTATCAATCTATTTGATTTTAGTCTCTCAATCGTTAACTCTCGTTTAATTAGTCTCTCAATTATGTTAGGGACTTAAACAAAAAGGGACTTAAGAAAAAGAGGACTAATGGAAATTAATAATAGAGAGAATTGAACCGGACGAACTGATAATATGAGGGATCATTTACCCTTAATTTTTAAATTCGTGACTAAAGTTGATCAAACCCTCAACAAAAAGAACTATTCACATAGTTTATCTTTTTTTTAATTAGTATCAGATTCATCACTTTTTTTTTATATTCGTATATTTTTATCTATTAAATTTTAAAGGTTTAATATAAAAATAAATGTTTAAATACTTAAAGTTAATGTGGACACTTAACTTTTTTTTAAAATAATTTAGATACTTAAAATTAATTTTAGATATAATTTAAATACTTATTTTTATATTAAGACAATTTCTTTTTGCTAAATTTTACCCTCAATTATTTAAAAAATAATAATTGCTTATCTAATAGATACTGGGGAAAATATTAATTTTTTTAATAATTTTGATGTGATAATATGTGTCAATTTATATGTATTTTTTTGCCATCTTGGTTCTAAGGTTTCACCTTGATTAATTCGGATCGATTCGCGTTGCACACTTGATTTTGGTGGGTGAGTCTTCCAACGGAGATTTTCTACATACATAAGGTCTCAAACTTGAGAACTGCTTAACCGATATCAAATTATTTATCACTTGGTTGGTTCAATTCATATGTATTTTATATAGTCATAATACTATTTGTCCTATATATTATATAATATATGATTTAAAATTTATAAAAATATGTAAATTAAAAGCACTATAAAAATGTACGAGAAAAAATAGTATAAGTACATATGGATTACCATAATATTCAATATCCATTTTTGTTAAAAAAAATCAATCCTTCTTAGAAAGTTACAACTTTTGGCATATTACTTGTAAAAGTTCTTTGGGTTATTAGAGTTCGTGGAAATTGTTCATGTTAAGGGAAGTATTTTTTTTTCATTTTTTGTTGTTTTAAATTCAGTAAATTATTAATTGATTTGATCTGAAATTAAATTAAAAGAAACAATATTTCTTGTCACAAATTAGTTTGATTTCTCTTTAATGTGTCAAAGCACTCTATTATTGCATGATTAGCAATCCTTGGAAGATAGGCAACTAAACATAGGCTCTTGCAAATGGCAGTATGACGGACCTCAAAGAGTGAAGCAATTCCTCTGGCTAATTTTTCATCAACGGGTAATGACGAACTCTGAACGGAGGAGACGTGGGCTGTCTTCGGATCACCTTTGTCCTATTTGCGGTAGTTGCGAAGAGACTATTCTCCATGTCATTCGAGACTGCCCCTCAGGCTCATATGATATGGGATTACCCCCTCCCCCACCGTTTCAAGCTAAGTTTCTTTTCCCTACCTCTTTTTGATTGGATGGTTACTAATCTTTCACATAATGTAGGTTTGAACCAGACTACTTTTCATTGGAGACATTTGTTTGGAATCCTAGTTTGGCTTCTATGGAAGCAACGCAATGCTTTTGTTTTCAATGGACAAGTTCGCTCAATGATGGAGACTATACACTCGGCTTGGAGTTGGGCGCAGGCGATTAAAGAAACTCCAAGGAAGAAATCCCAGAGTGACAGACACCATTATAATTAAGAAACAACCATGGCGTCCCCCCACCATGGGTTCGGTCAAGCTAAATACGGATGGAGCTGTTTTTCCAACAACTATGGTGGCCGCTAGTGGAGTTGTGCAACGCGATTTTAATGGTGATTGGATTATCGGCTACCATCGAAATATCGGCCGTTGTAATATCCATAATGCCGAACTTTGGGCAGTGCTTGATGGTCTTACAATCGCTTGGGATATATGATTCAGGAACATCGAAGTCGAAGTTGATAACCATGACGTGGTTAAGACTTTAAACACCTGTCCGAGGTTGCATGAATCGACTATTGTCCGACATATCCGTCGCTTACTTGAGCATCAATGGAGCGCTAAAATCTCCCATATTAATCGTGAAGCCAACGCCACTGCAGGAGCGCTAAAATTATCACCTTGGGACTTACTGTTTACCATCAACCTCCACGAGGAACCCAAGCCTCCTTGCATGCTGATGCTATTGACTGATAATTTCATAAATTAAAATCAATTCACATTTTAAAAATATTCAAATTGAGTTATGAATAGCTTGAAATTTTCAATAATTAGTGGATTAATTTTTAAATTTGAGTTGAATCCCTCAATTTTGCATAATATATATATCACATATGAAAAATATAAAGAGAGATATATGTATATCATATATGGTTGTAGAAAACCATTTAAAGTGGAATCAAATATTATCATAATATTATAAATATTTACAATAAATTTAAATAAAAACTCAAACAACTCAAGACTCAAATTTCATAAACGGACTCCACTCGAAAAATCTTCAAATAAAATTTGAGTTATAAAATAAGACTTATCAACTAAAAAAAAATTAACTCATCTCAATCGAATATTCACCCTAAATGCGAAGACAAAAGAATATCAAGTTAACTACATAATAAAATTGTATATATTTAAATAAAGTACAAAAACAATTTTTAAATATCTTTTTTTTTAAAAAGTAATATTTAGTAAGATTAAATTCGAATAATAAAGCGTTTAGTGCACTCATAATTCAAATTGAATTTTAAAGATGTTGTTAGGAATGTCACCTATAATATATGTATTAAAACAAACATAAAATATAAAATTTGTATATATCCCTAAACAGAAAATGAGCCCATTATAAACATATGCTGCTATTTAAATAAATTAATCTCTAAAACCAGCTTAGAACCAAGGCTTCACCATCCCTTGCCTATGAGCCACAACCAGTCGAGAGTTACCCCAGCGAAGATGCCTCCTAGCAGGAACAAAACAAGCAAATTCCCCAATGCATTCTGCTCAGGTCCCTATAAAAAAAGGAAAAAAAATCACTAACTTTTTATTTTTCTTTCAGGTTTAAAGAAATTGAAGCATAAACAATATTGTAACAAACCTTATAGCCCTTGGGTGCAGAAGTAAGGACACAGACTGTGAGGTAACCATTAGATAAGCCTAAGAAGCTTGTTAGCATGATCATCCAGCCTTGGTCGCCATATCTAGTAGTGAAGTAAAATGCCGGGACGAATAATACACGAGAAAGTATCACGGTTGTGAGAGCTTTCCTCGATTTGAGCTTCAACGGTTTTACTAGTGGAATGTATCTCCCAATAAGATCCCATACATTGTACATTGCTATCAGAACGAGGGCATACCTGAAATGTTAATGATAAATCTGGTGTAACTTGTAGCTACATATAAACACCAAGAACGAATGAGACAATAACATACCAGGTACCTAAACTGTGTTTTCCGGTATCTTCAGACAAGAATCCAGGAAAAATGGATAGTGTCAGCGCGTATATCAGAAACATGTCGAGTGCGTAATCGATATTCTGAATTAGTAACTCTTTGGTGCTCAGCCTTTCCTGCTTCTTGGTGTCTACCTCATCCTGCAGAAGACATTGATTCTTCTTACACAATGAATTGAAAAATACTAGGACATTTCTTAAGAATGACAGTAGGCAGAATGACATACATTTCCAGGTAATGCTTGGATGCCACCAGCAGCCAGGTCAGCTGCAACAGTTTTAGATCCTTCAGAGGCTGCCTTTGAGCGATAGTACTTCACAATTGGTAGTTTTGGAAATACATACGCATAGAGAAGAACACATACAAGCTCAAAAAATGCAGAGATGGAAAAGAACAGAACTGCACAGAGGTGTGGTTACCACAGAGAGAGAAATTATTAGTCTCGAATAAACCAAAAATGTAAGGGATACTAATGATTTGCTTGTTGATTAATTGTTAAGCTTAATTCAAATTTCAGATCTTTAGACTAAGATTATCAAGAAAGATGTTTTTCCTTTTGTGATAGGGAATTAAGTATAAGGGGATTAAAACTTACTGATAGGGAAGCGGTGGCGGGTTAATGAACGTTGCTCTTGTTGAAGAATCAAACTTAGAAAAGATCTAGACTCGATGAAGAACAATAAGGGATGAATCAGGAAGGTGGCGGCAATAGATAGGGTTTCTTTTTGGTGCTGGAAACAAGATAAAAATAAGATTAAAACAAGATAAAGAAAAGATAAATGAATTGCAAATAAAATAAGATAACAAATAAATCAAAAGATCTCCCTTATGAAGGTGAACGATAAAGATGATTGATGACGTTGATGGATATGTGGAAAATCGATGGATAATGTCCTATCGAGCCCTCCTAGTCGCAATGAAAAGGTAAACATGATAATATGACTCTAACCAACCCTCCTAGTCGCGATGAAAAGGCAAATTGGAGTGTGAAGATTAATCTCCCTCACAAAAACTTGAAAGAACTCGAGGAGAAGAAGCATCGAAGGCACAAGGCAATCAGCACTTGCAAAAATGAACTCTCGTTGTATTATTAATCAAAGAAATCTTCAATTACAAAGTTTATTGAAGCCTCCTTTATATAGGGGCTGAGTTCTAAAGGTCCTAAATAACTAATGAATAAAATAATAATAAACTAAACATATCTTAACTCTAATTCCTAATAAAATAATAATAACTAAAGATAATATTTTTAACCCAATCTTAATTCCTAATAAAATAATAAATCTAATCCTAAAAGATAATGCATCATCCTATATTAAGTTATATTACAAATAATCAATAAAAATATTGAAAATTCGTAATATTTACAAAATCCCGTATTAATCCCGTTTAGGATTTTCTGCATGCACCATCTTCAGTAAAATAGCCATATCTTGAGTTCCTGA